AAGCCATAACATAAATCTTTTGCTAACAAGATTTCTTGCATTTCAATTTTTAAAAATGGTTGAAGAAGTTTTGGAATTCGTTATTGTGCAAATATTTTGCAGGATTCATCAGTGAAGAAAAACTGATTCTAAACAGTTTGGGAGGGAGATTTTTCCTACTATCTTAATGTCCTTAATCATTACCAGTCTGTTTAGATTTTCTGTATATTCTTGATTCAGTTTTTGTATGTTGTATATGTTCAGGAATTTTTCCAATTCTTCTCCAGGTTTTCCAGTTTTGTAGCATACAATTGTTCATGGTAGTTTATTATAAACTTTTATACTTCTGTGATATCAGCTCTAGTGTCTCTTTTTTAAACTCTCATTTTATTTCTTCGTTACTCTATGAGTAGCTAATTTGTCAAAAAAATAGCAAATTTGTCTATTCATAAAAAACTTTCAATGAGCATTTATATATTTTTTAGTTTTGATATTATTTGTTTCCACTCTGTTCTTTCTTTTCTTTTCTTTTTTTTTCTTCTTTCTTTCTTTCTTTCTTTCTTTCTTTCTTTCTTTCTTTCTTTCTTTCTTTCTTTCTTTCTTTCTTTTTTTTTTTTTTTGTGTGTGTGTGTGCAGGGTTTCACTATGCAACTCGGACTCATGGTAGTCCTCCTGTTTTCTGCCTCCCAGTGCTGAGATTACACATGCACATCACCACACCTGGACTTCTTTGCTGGCTCAGCCCACCCGAGGGTGGGCCAGCACAGCATGCAGCGCTAGGGATGAAACCCTGGGCCCTGCACTTGCCTAAGCAAGCACTTAGTCCACTGAGCTGTATCGTAGGTCCTTTCTATTATCTTTCTTCTATTAACTTAGGTCTGGTTTATTATTTCTTTTTGAAATCTTTGAAAGTGTCTTGTAAGTTATTTGAAATATTTTTGTTCTTTATTTTTAACGCATGAATTTATTGCTGCAAACTTCCCTCTTAGTACCAAGTTTGCTTTATTCCAGGTTTTGGGATATTTCATTGTGCTGCTATTTATTTCTAAAGATTTTAATTTCCTTTTTGATTTCTTCAGTTACTCCTTGGTTATTTAAGAGCATGTTATTTAATTTATATATTTGTGTAACTTACTTTCCTGACAGTTTGTAGTTTTATTCTGTAGTAGCTTGAGAAGATATATATTATTTTAATTTTAAAAAATAAGAAAAGAAATCCAACTGCCATGATGAATCCAATATTTGTTTTTTAACTTGTTGTAATACAATTGTTTTATTTATTTATTTATTTTGTATTTTGAGGAAGGGTCTACAGGGTGTTCAGGGTCTCATTACTAGATCAGACTCATAGGGATCCACCTGTTTACTACCTCCCAAGAACGGGGATTACAGATGTGCACCACCAAGCCCAGTCTCATTTGCCATGTCAGAGTGCCCGGGAGTGGGGCTGGCATGGCATGCCTGGGGATCGAACCCCTGACCCCTGAGCCTGCTGGCAGGCACTTTAATCTGTTGAGCTATTTGTCTGGCCCTTATGCAATTATTTTAATCCTTTGGATGATTTGTCTTGTATTCAGATTCATATTAGGCATTACTGTGTATTATTACAAAAACCATCAACATACTCACCACTCCCCTCACTACTGCTTGGTTGTACAATGAGCTGATAGCTTGATATTACATATTAGTGGCATCAGTAATTATCCTGTGTACATCTTTCTCCCATGCAGTGTAGTAAAATGTAACTTCCCCAGTGCTTCCCATATGGACCCAGATGTCTATGCACCAAACATCTTTGCTTCATCTCAAAGGGCAGCTCTTAGACTACTCCAGGATGAAGCCCTGAATCTGTTCAGTACATCAGTGGTAAGGATGTTCTAATTTCAAAATATTTAGAATATTACTTCGTCTATGAATTTTGAACTTAGAGCTAGGCAATATGAAAAGTACTTTAAGTAGTATATCCTATTATAAGAAAAAACAAAGAATACATTTCTCAAGAACTGGTTAAATTCCATTTCAAAAGGTGGAAGAACTGAAGCTCAGAAGGTTTCAGAAGATTTGCAAGACTACATTACCAATGACTAAATTCAAAATACTCTATGACTTTAACAACATAATGTTAATCAGTGTGTCATTTTAGTTTATGTTTTGTGTATCAGATTGCATATTGGTATACTCATCATATGAGAAGCAAGAGTTTTTTAAGTGGAAGAAACACGGGTACCATGTTGAATCAATATATTTTTAGATCATATGTTAGTTTTACTGTGCTTTGTTTCTGGACCCGTCTACTTGAAGAGACTTTCTTGGTGTTTAAATTCATAGTGACCAGAATCTGTTGCTTTACTACAAAAGCTGAAAAACCAGACTCTCAACAAAAGGGCTAGAAAGGAATAAAAGACTTTAACCTTTAAGCACACACTATTGTTCCTATTTGAAATAGGAAAGAGTGATACACAGAAGTAGAAGTCTCATGGACCCAATTTTAATAACAGTAGTGGTGACAGTAGACTGTACTTTCTAAATGCAATACTACACATGCTAGCATCATGTGTCTTGGTTTCATTATCAGTGGAGTAAACTAGGGCATTCAATACTCATTGCCAGCACCATTAGGTACATTTATTATTTTAGAAGTCCTTTTTATTTTAACAATTTCTCAAGTCTGATTTCAGGAATACCTGACGATTCTATCAACAAGTTCATATATTTTCAAGAAATTCAAGATTTTTATTCTTATAATGAAATATTGCTGGTGAAGGAAAATTTGGATTTTCTATTGTATTTCCTTGGTCACTTCAGTGCAGATATGAAAAGATTATTTTGTGTTGAACATATAGATGCTGATTTTCATCCCAGATGAAATCTGTTTTTGCTAACTTTTAACTTCTAATTGGAACTCCAAATGCATCATTAATGAAAGCTCAAGAGATATATGACAGCCTCTAGCTAAAGTTCAAAAGTCAGTTCGGATAAAATGAAACTAATATAGACTTGTTTTGTTCTGTTTTTCCCAGTATCTGTGAATGATTAAGGATCTCTCTCTTTTAATTTAAATCTCCTACTTTAGATTCACTTAAAATCATGATAAAAACAACTTTTACTTTTATATTTTTGAACCTCCAATTGGAATGAAACAGTTTTTTTCAGTGTGTGCAGTGAAATTTTCCCATTACTGAAATTAAAGGATCTGCGCTTTCACCTCTTTCTCTTAACTGTATTTCAGAACAATTTTTAAAGGTTAACTCATGGTTACTTCAGAGATCCATGCCACTGATCTATTGCAGTCTCATTATTGAAGTAGATTTCAGTGTATCCTGACTCATTATAAGTTCCAAAATGCTGTGCTGTCTTCAATTCTTTCCCTAATATTGAAAGTGCTATACATGTTCATTAAATCATTTCCTTTGAAATAATTGTACTTTGTGCAAAGTAGGACCCATTCATCCTGTGGTGTGGGGTCTGAAAATTCTGTAATAATTTTATTAAGAATAGCTTCTAATGAAGTTGCTGCTCAGTCCTAACAGGGGAGAAGGTGAACCAAATTAAACATCTACGAATCTTCTTAAGCTAATTTAAAACATCAAATCACAGGGTAAAAGCACTGTTCCCAAAATTTGAGGAGCAGACTGATAGGTACAGAAATTGATGACTCATGATAGCAGAAAAGAATGAGTGAAAAATCTCTGTGAGAACAAGTACCAGGATAGAAAAACTTCAATAGATAAGCTGCTAAAGATTTAATATGTTGACACAAAATTCCAGGGGAAGTTTTGTGGGGTGAAAGTCTCCAACAATTTTTGGTCTTTCTACTTCATGATGTCTGACTGTGTTCTTATAGTGAATAGGGCTTAAACCCTCTTGTGTTTTTAGAAGAAAATGGGAAAAGGAATAATTTGGGAATACAGTATACTATAGTGTTCTAGATTTCTCAACAAGGGGTGCCTACAGAAGAAACTATTTAACCAGACAATAAGGCACTAGAAATTTCACAGAACTACCTACACTGTGGAGAAGAAATACACAAATCCAGACAGCTCTCTCCTCACGTAACAATGGTGAGGGCACCAAGACTCACTTGGAAGTTTGTAGCTGGAGACAGAGGGAGGTTCATCAAAAGACTGAGACATAATACAGAGAAGTAGGATACATTCTCTTTGGCCAAAATTTACCAGTGCATTGCAAACAGCCTGCTTAGAGGAAATCCTTTTACTTAGTATATAATCTTTGTTTATTAAAATAAATAAAGGCAAAAATGCAATCAAAAAAAAAAAAAAAAAAAAAGAAAAAAGAAATGCCTTTCCAGCCAGAGCCCCATCCTAGTGTGTGTGTGAGACTTTCCATGTGTTCACCAGATCCCTTTCTAGCCAGAACCCAGACCCATCATGTGTGGGGGACCATCCGTGGACTCCTGGGAGCCTCCTCCATCAGACACGCCTGGTGTGGAATGCTGCGGAAGAACTCCCTGCAGAGAGGCTAGGGGCCAGACCAACACAGCTAATGCAGGAGCTGATCATTTAAAAAAAATATTAATTTTAATCAGAAAATAGTAGCAATGAAAGAGTTTCAAGACAGGTTCATAGGACAGTTACAATAATTAATACATTGCATATTGTTGTCTTCATAGTAGTAATTCAGAATAAAAGATACAGACATGATATCTTGTCTGAAAAATATCAATACAAACCATTCTCATTGAACTAAGAAAAAGTAGCTTTAAATCTATTCTAACTATTTTGCATATATATATATATATATATATATATATATATATATATATCTGGGTTTTTTTTTCCACTACAAAATGATACTTCATTTATATCTCTTTTTTTCGTTTTGTTTTGTCAGAGATGGGTGTTCCATTGTTGCTAAAAAAGTTGTAGTTGGAGAAGTCTTCAAAGGACATTTTCATACTTGATGCCAACTCAAATATTGTGGGTTTACGAATTCAGTAAAATATCTTGCCAGAGGGGCACAGTGGGCATAATTCCATGAGTGGTAGCAGGAAGAAGATGGGTATGGCGGCCAGAACCAAGTCAGGTACATCTGGAGCAACCTGAACTTGGTAGATCCAGATCCAATAAACTAGACATTTTGCTAGACCCAGATCTATGAGGGTATCCTCTCTCTTTCTCTCTTAATGGAGAGAGGGAACAATAGGTAACTGAGGTGAAATAGTCTGCCTGGAAGACCTCATGTACATCAAGCGGGGGGGGGGGGTGATAGAACAGAACTTAGGAGAACTAATTTAAGTAAAAATTTCCAATTTAATATCTGTTTAGCTACACAGACATAATGCTTGTTCTTATGGTCTAAAATACAATCCTATTAGTTACCAAAGTGTGTCAACTGCTAAATATCACTACCTATTGTCAGTGCTCTTAATTATAGTTCTGCAAATACAAAACTATGCCTTAACCACATAATCTCTCCTGGGAAAGAATGTTGGTAAATACTAAGGTAATAACTGCACTAAAGCTCTACTGTAAAAGGCAGAGGACAGTGCTACACAAAATGACAAAGGAGGAAAATACATTCTCAGGCCCCAAGCCCACCTGGAACAATGCAGGAGACACAAACATAGAAGAAATTGGAAATCGTAGACCTGATATCTCTGCAATCAATTATAAGTCAATATATCTAAGTAATATCCATCAATGTAAATGGTGTCAATTCAACAGGCAGAAAAGAAATAGACACGCAGAATGTATTAGGAAGCAAAATCCAACAATATGTTGTATAAAAGAAACACACTTAACTCATAAGGAAATTCATAGGCTTAAAGTCAAAGGATAGAAAACAATACTACATGTCCCAGGACTTCATAAAAAAGCAGGGGTAATAATTCTGTTCACAGACAGTATCAACTTCAAACCAAGAGTAATCAAACAAAATAAAGAAGGCCAACATATGTTGGTTAGGGAAAAAATTCAAGAGGAACAGAAAAAAACTCAAAAATATGTATGCACCAAACATGGAGCACACAACTATATAAGAAAAATTTAATGGATATGAAAACTCTAGTAGCCAACAGCAAAATCTTAACAAGAGACCTTAAAACTCCCTTATCCCAAAAAGATAGGTCAAGCAGATAAAATTTAGCAAGAAGTAGCAGAACTGAACCAGACCTTGGTATAAATGGATTTAGTGGGCATATACAATGTGTTTCACCCAACCACAGCTGAATACGCTTTCCTTTCAGCTGTACATAGGACATTTTTTAAAATAGATTACATATTAACCCATAGGTCATGCTTAAGTATATGCAACAAAACAGAAATTATCCGATGCATATTATCTGACCACAGTGTACTAGAACTGGAAATAAATGACAAAAGAAAACACAAACAAAAAAACCCAAAAATACATGGAAATTAAACAACACCCTGTTCAGCAACCAATGAGTTACAGGTGAAATTAAATAAGAAATTAAACAATATCTACAATTCAATGAAAACTCAAGCACAACTTATCCGATTTTATGAGATGTGATGAAAGCAGTTCTTACAGGGAAATTTATAGCTGTGAACTCACACATTAGGAAAACAGAATAGAAACAAATAAATTCCCTAATGCTGCACCTCAAACATCTAGAAGAAGAAGAGGAAAACTAAGCCAAAGACCAAAGACATAAGAAAATTATAAAGATTAGAGCAGAAATTAATGCAATTGAGACAAAGAAAACTACACAAAAATTTAACAAATCAAAAGGCTCGTTCTTTGAAAGATTAAATAAAATTAATAAAACCTAGTTAACCTCTTAAAAAGAAGAAAAAACCTCAAATTCAAGCAATAAGTAATGAAAAAGGTGAAATTATTACAGATGCTGTCGAAATTGAGAAGATTATCAATAGCCACTTTGAGAGTCTTTACTCTCACAGAATAGAAGACAGAAGAAATTGGACAGATTCCTAGAAAGGTACAAATTACCAAAACTGAATCAAGAAGATAAAACAACTCTCAATAACCCAATAACAGCCAATGAAATATGAAATGTCATTAAAAAAACCACCAACAAAGAAAAGTCTAGGTCCTGATGGATTCACAGCTGACTTCTACAAGTAATTTAGAGAAGATATAATATCAATATTCCTCAACAACTTCAATGAATTTGCAAAGGAAACAATATTCCAAAAATTATTCCTGGAGGCAAGTATTATACCAAAACCAGAGAAAGATGCAACGATAAAAGAGAATTATGGGCTAATCTCCCTCATGAATATAGATGCAAAAATCCTCAATAAAATTATAGAAAATAGAATGCAGCAAATCATCAAAAAGATTATAGACCATGACTAGGTAGGATTCTTTGCAGGGATGCAAGGATGGTTTAACATACACAAATCTATAAATGTAATACACTATACCCATAGAGCCAAATGCAAAAACCACATGATCATCTTAATTGACGTAGAAAAGGCCTTTGTAAATATCCAACAATCATTCATGTCAAAAGCCCTAAACAAAATTGGAATAGATGGTTTCTACCTCAATCTGAAAAAAAGGCATCAATAACAATACAACTGCAAATATAATGCTAAATGGGGAAAAAATTGAAATCTTTTACTTTCAGATCAGGTACAAGACAAGGATGTCCTCTATCACCATTCCTATTCAATAGAGTTATGGATTTATTCGATAGAGCCATTAAACAACAGAGAGTAGTAAAATGAATAAGAATAGGTAAAGAAGAAGTTAAGCTATCATTATTTGCAGATGACATGATACTTTATTTGGAAGACCCAAAAATCCTTCGCCAAGAAGTTCTTAGAATTAATAAACAAATTTAGTAACATTGCAGGCTGCAAAGTCAATACACCAAAGTCAATAGCATTCCTCTATACAGATAACAAACACACTGAGAGGGAAATTAGAGAAACAATACCTTTTGCAATAGCACTGCAAAAATGAAGTACTTAGGAATTAATCCAACTAAAGAAGTCAAAGATCTATTCAATGAAAATTACAGTACTCTGAGAAAAGAGATCACCGAAGATTTCAGAAAATGTAAAGATATTCCTTGCTTCTGGATAAGAAGAATGAACACTGTGAAGATAACCATACTCCCAAAATTGCTATATAGATTTAATACCATCCCTATCAAGCTACCACCAACATACCTCAATGACCTAGAGAAATCATTCCTGAAATTTATTTGAAACCAGAAAAGACCTAGAAAAGCAAAGGCAATCCTGGGTAACAAAGGCAAGGCAGGAGGCATTATAATTCCTGACTCAAAATTATACTACAATGCAACAGTCATAAAATCTGCATGATCTTGGCAACAAAATAGACTCAAGTATAAGTGGAATAGATTAGAAGATGCAGATTCAGATACAAACACACTCAGTCATTTTATCTTTAACAAAGGGGTCAAACATGTTTACCGGAAGAAAGATAGCCTCTTTAACAAATGGTGCTGGAAATACTGGCTCTCTATATGCCCAACACTAAAACTTGACCTGGGTCTATCACCATGCACTAAAGTAAAGTCAAAATTGATTAAAAATCTAGCCATTAAAACAGAAACACTAAATTTCCCAGAAGAGAAAGTAGGTGGAAATCTGGAAGATATAGGGTTAGGCAAACAGCTCATGAACAAAAATGGAACTGCACAGGAAATTCTTGAAAGAATCAACAAGTGGGACCTCTTCTTATTAAGAAGTTTCTGCATGTCAAAAGAAATCACCAATAGAGTGAAAAGACAACCCACACAAAAAAATCTTAACTAATAAGTACTCAGACAAAGGTCTTCTCTCTAGAATTTATAAAGAACTAAAAAAATTGGGGCCTCAGAATTTAAACACCTCATCCAAAAATTAGCATCCGAGATGAAAATGTACTTCTTAGAGGAAGAAATGCAAGACACAAATAAATACATGAAAACATGCTCCACATCATGAACCATTCAAGAAATGCAAATTAAAAGAACACTGAGATATGATCTCACCCCAGAAAGAATGGCTGGCATAAAGAAATCAACCAACAACAAATGTTGGAGAGGCTTCAGGAAAAAGGAACCCTTGTCCACTGCTGGTGGCAATGTGGACTGGTGCAACCGTTATGGAAATCACTGTGGAGGATTCTTAAAAAAAAAAAAAAACTAGGACTGGTACTCCCATTAAATTCAGCTATCCCTTTACTGGGAATTTTCCCAAAAGAACTGAAAACATCATATCATAATGATATATATGCTCCTATGTTTAAAGCAGCAGTTTGTGATAGCCAAATCTTGGAAGCAACCAAAATGCTTATCAACTGAGGAATGGCTGAAAACGATGTGGTATTTTTATACAATGGAGTATTACTCAGCTATAAAGTATGATAAACTTGAAGCCTTCATATGTAAGTGGATGCAACTTGAAGCTATACTCCTAAGTGAAATAGAACAGACACCCATGTGTAAATATTGTATTGTCTCTGTAGTGTAAGAACTCAAAAGTAGAAATAAAATTTGAAATGTATACCACAGTTAAATGGAAAGGGAGAACTTAAGGATTAAGCAATGAAGAGAGAGAAAGGGGAAAAGTTAGGAAAGGGCAAAACCATAAATTTATATAAACAAAATGATTAAGGCAATGGTCCTAAGATTTTTCCATCAAGATTAAAAAAAAAAATAGCAGTTAGTGGATAGAATTATCACCCGACTAACTCTATCTGCTGATATCTATGAACTAAGCAACTACACTGCAGACAACAATGTGCAGTACTAAAACCTTGCTTAAAATACCTGCCATTTTAGTCTTTTGGGTCCTCTTTTCCAAGATGAAGAAAAAAGAAGGAAAAACAGTCGTGCCAAAAAGGGTCATGGTCATGTGCAGCCAATTCGCTGCACAAACTGTACCTGGTGTGTCCCCAAGGATAAAGCCATTGAGAAGTTTGTCATTCAGAACATAGTGGAGGCCGCCAGCATCAGGGACATTTCTGAAGCGAGTGTCTTTGATGGTTATGTGCTTTCCAAGCTGTATGTGAAGCTGCATTACTGTGTGAGTTGTGCCATTCACAGTAAAGTGGTCAGAAATCGATCTCATGAAGCCTGCAAGGACAGAAGTCCTCCACCCCGATTTAGACCTGCTGGTGCTGCCCCATGACTTTGACCAAAGCCTATACAAGGGGAGCTGGGTCTTAATGGACTGAAAAAAACTCTTGAGAAAGAAATAATAAATTGAATACTATACTTTAAAAAAAAAGAAGGTACCTGTCATTTTGGTCTTCTAAATGCCTTCTGTTTCTAATGTCATATCAATTATTGCTATATTCTCTTTAAAATAAATGTGTGTCAAACAAGATAATAAAAGTAAATGAGGAACAAGAAAAAATATATAGCAGGATTGTACTGCTACATGTTGAATGTGGTTTGATTTCTAGATATCTGTGTAAAAATGTGAAAAATTTTTTAACATTCTATAGGGATTTAAATTTCAGAATACCCATGGTTGTTGGAAAATTACAGTTTTGTTTTATATCTAAGGCATGTGATATTCAGACAGATAGTGATGTTAAGCTTAACTGCCTCTGTTGAAGGATAATAATATCAGTAAGCTTCTCTTCTGGATGATTTTTTTTTTTCGGTACTGGGGATTGAACACAGGATTCTGTGCTTTCTTCCTTTTTTCTTTTTTCTTTCTTTATCTTTTCTTTTTTCTTTTCTTTTTTTTTTTTTTTTTTTTTTTTTTTTTGCAGAACCAGGGATTGAACTCAGGCCTTTGAGCTTTCCAGGCAAGTGATTATTCTATTGAGCCTGTGCTTTCCAGGCAAGCACTTATTCTACTGAGCTATCTCCCTGGGCCCTCTTCTGGATGATTAACAACTAAGGTTTGCAGACAAAAATTAGACAGATAGATGGGATAGAAAAATAGAAAATACTTGGTCCTAGTCTTTTAAAATCAGTGAGGACTCAGGACATAAAAGAACTTTTGCTGTGACATCCTGTAACTAAGTTGTGTTCCAAATTATCTGATCAAGGAGATTATGGGACCTCTGGGGAAAGTGATTGATGATGTGTAGTGCGACTAAGGAGAGTCACCTAGAGAGAAAAAATTCTCTCAGGCTTTCACAGAGAGCAAATTAGTCAAGCAGTGGTTGTGACTCATCCAGATGGCTGACACTGACAAAAGATCCACAAGGTACTTTACATGGTTCTAGGGTAAATCCTGAGGGGATTTGACGGACCTTATCAGACAGCAAAAGTTACATTTTAGTTGTGTAGGTCTGGCTTTAACTTGGCCTTAACCATCCAGCAGAAAAGTATAACCAGGAGGTATAAAGAGTAAAGGTATATTAATATGCTGAGCTATAAAAGGCTCAATTCAACAGCTTCGCACAATTGCCAGTTGTGCTGGTAACTCACTACTATTATGGACTATGGGACTATACTGGGTTATTTTGCTAAATTCAAGTACCTACAATATTTGGACTGGCATCAGGTATGAAAAAGTCCTTTAAAGACTTCTCCAAATACAGCTTCTCTAACAGCAATGGAGCACCCATCTCTCTCTCTCTCTCTCTCTCTCTCTCTCTCTCTCTCTCTCTCTCTTTCTTTCTTTTTTTCTTTGTTTTTTTTTTTGAGTTTTACCAGTGTTAATTTATTCATTGCTGGGTACATAGACTACAGAGAACATGCAGCATTCACTGGGGGAAGGAATTAGCCATATCTAGCCTGAAGCCATTCAAGACGCCCGTGATGAGTCCGTCAGGTCAGATCTAAGGTGATGGCAGGACGACCCCCAGCCACCTGCAAGCTATACAGATACATTGAGGACTTATTATTCTCAGTTACTTAAAAACCAGTAGGAAAATGAGAAGTTCCGTCTGCCTCTTTATCTTAAACAAATGCTTACAAAGGATTCTGTGAATCATCTATATCTGCCTCCCTACCATAATTTCCAAATTTTAAGGAAATTCAATTTCTAAAAGTTCTTCTAAATCAATTTATTTACCTCAGAATTAAAAACGCTATGCCAATTGAGAAAGAGTTGTTAAGCAATTCAAAAGACTGAATGCACCAGAAGTCAGTTATGTAGTGCTGAGCTGCTCTCTAACACTAGCAGGTTTTTGTGCCATATTTGCCAATTTCTCCCCAAGATGTCTGTTTTAACCTATGATATCAGTAATATGATATAAATGAAAAAAATCTAGTTACATTTAAAAGGACAGAAAAATTAAATTACTTTATTGTTTCAGACCATAACTAAAAACTAATGATGTATATTTAATAATGTATAGTAAACACAATAAGCATACCCTATAACTGGATAAAATGCTGAATTGTGTCTACACTTACTGAGTTCCACCAGCTCTGTAACACATAATTTCTCTTACAGGGACATCACTGTTACTTCCTGTTCCAGTAATGTACACTTCTTTTTATAGTAGTGGGAATAAAGACTGAGTAGACAAAACAGTTATACCCTAATAGAACAAAAAAGAGAAGACTTTTTGGCCTTTTTTCTTTTTTTAAAGAGGAAGTCTATTCTTTTCCTAAGATTCCATCACCATTGAGAGGAACCCACTATGGCTTGCAGCGCTGGACCAATTGAGGGTACAAGCACACATCTTGGATGTGATACCTATTCAGGATCCAAGTCAGGAACTGCTCCAAGCCCAATCCATGTCCTCCATGAGGACATGTACTGTATTTTCTCTGATCTGTATACCAGTAGTGGGGAGTGGGATCAATACCTTCCCTTTTATAACCTGCCAGGATTTCTTCATTATCCCAAATGTGCATGAAGCCGCCCACAATCTCACCAATATTGGGTACCAACACATCAGCTGATTCAGTAAGATGGGGATCCTCAGGACATCGCTGTTTATAGAAGGATTTGATCTCCACAGGAAATTGACACAGCAAGATTGGTTCATTAATGGTGTCTGTCATCTGTTTTTCAGGAGCTTCTGGGATATCATCTCCAAATTCTTAGAAAGTTCAATCTACTTTCTTTATATTATGTTCTTTTAACCACATAATAGTATCTGTATAATTCATTTCTTTGAAAGGCTGTTTGGGGGGTTTAAAGTTTGGGTTGCGATCCAACTGCTGGTGATTTTAAGATTCTATCTAAGACATCACAAACCAAATCCTCCAACAGGTTCAGGAGATCCTCAAAGTCAGGAAAGGGCACTCTGGTTCCACATGAGTGTACTCAGCCAGGAGCCTTCATGTTCTGGACTGTTCTTCTCTGTATGACTGTGAAATACAAAACATCTCCCAGGGCTGGAAGGCAGGTCTCCAGATACAGTTGAGAGGACTGAGTTAAAAATGCCTCTTTTGAAAAGAAGTCCAGCTTGAAGATTGTGGAGCTGCCTTCAGCTTGTGTTTGTACTAATGTTGGAGGTGTAACTTTGTAGTACCCCCACCAATGAAGTGGTCTCGAAAGCACCTGGTCACCACAGAGCGTGCTCTCAGGATTTTAGACATATCATCTCACCAGATCATCATGTGCCTGTTGTTGAGGTGGACATCCACATCGGACTCTTCATTGATCAAGGTATCAGCTCCTCCAGGGGGGGCCAGCCCTGTGAGTTCTCAGAAGTTACAGCTCAGCTCATAGACCCCAGAGCCTGCTTGCCTTTTGGGGTAAGATTTAGTGTTCTATATACTGTAAGACTACTTTTGGAAGACAAGACTACTCCATTTAATACTGACACAAAGCATCTGACAAGACACACTGAAGATAAGCTGTACTGTCCCGCAACACCAGGAACACTGAATTCTTTCCTTGTCTACACAGTCATTGGACCAAGCCAAATAACTTTATTCTTTGGCCTCTATATCCATCTAATACACATATCTTCACATTCTTGGGCTCTGGCAAACTTGGATCCTTTTTAAAGGATTTCTTCTTGGCTTCTTCCAGGTTCTGTTCTCTTCGTAAACTATCTTCTGCCTCTTTCTTCTCCTGGGATTCATTTTTAATTTGTTCTCTATGCCACACTTTTTTTATCGTTCTTCATCTGTGATTTAGAAATAACAACCCATCTCTCATTTTCTTTTTGTGAATCTACATAAATAAAAGGGAATGGTTCTTTTCCTACTGTCATCAAAGTCTTTAGACCTGTTTTAAATGGCTTCTCCTTGGTTCCATCTCCCATATCATCATTTGCTTCTTAATCTGAAGAAGATGCTGTTCCAGCACCATTCCTGGTGTTGCACTGGTCACATTCAAGGACATGGTCTGCAACACCACCACGCCGCTCCTCACCCCAAAGTGGACCCAAGACTTTCTTACACAAGCAAGAATTGAAAGAATTTGTTTCCAATAAATAGCCTAAAAATAATTCCTTTAGACAGAAACAGTTTGGTCAAATAGCTCAGCAGATTAAAGCATCTGCTTAGGCAGATGCAGGGACCAGGAGTTCCATCCCCTGGCCTACTATGCCGGACCCATCCCCAGAGTGCGCTGAGATGGTGATTGAGACTGGGCTTGGTGGTGCATGCCTATAACCCCAGCACTTGGGAGGCTGCAAACAGTAGGATCACTATGAGTCTGATCTACACAGTGAAACCCTGTATGCCCTATAAACCCTATCCTAAATACAAAAGAAAAAAAGAAGAAAGAAAGAAAGAAAGAAAGAAAGAAAGAAAGAAAGAAAGAAAGAAGAAAGAAAGAAAGAAGAAAGAAAGAAAGAAAAAAAGAAAGAAATCAGATTTGTAGGGACATCCCACGAGGCCTCACCTGCCAGCATATAAAGTTCACAGTGGGCCAATCAAGTATCAAAGAGCTGTAGTTCACTATCACATGCATAATCCAGTCACCTCTGCAAATCCCCACCTCTGAGCACAGGAGGATGGGGGGGGGACATCTAGATATAACCCAAAACAAAGAGACATTGCCCCTTAGTCATGGACTTCCATACTCCTGAATATGAACAAAAATAATTCCTTTTCTTTATGAATTACATACCCTCTCCTGTTCCAGGAACACAATTCTCTAATGGATGAATGGTAAGCAAGAACGAGGGGAACTCTATGAAGCATCAAAAGAAAGTGCTAGAACTCAAAAACACAGACATGAAAAATACCTCTGATGATCTAATTTGTAGAATGGGAACAGCTGTGCCAAAAATTCAGCGTGAGGGTATCTCAATA